TTTTTTTCTATAATTTTTAAACAATAAAATGAATTAATTACTTTTGATTTCATAAAAAATTAAAATGGTTATCAAAACTGACCAATAAAAATTTATAACTTATTTTAAACTTTTTTGTTTATTTCAGAACAATAAAAAGTTAACTTTGCCTTGGGAGAAATTGACCATAGGTTCATAGGTTTTTTTTATCTTTCTAAATATATTTTATGGTAAATCTAAGGACATATGGATGGTAATTTGTGTTTTTTTTTGCTATAAATATTTATTTTTTATTAATCAATAAAATTGTTAATGTGTGTTTATCACGAAACCAACATGCAAAATGTACCATGTTTTTTGGGCAATGTATATGAAATTGCCCAGTAATAAAACAAGTTCTTTTATTATGTTATTGAAAACGCTATTATTTTCTCTCTCCTCTCCAATAAATGCAAGTTTATTCTATTTTTTATTTGTAATTTTAATTTTAATTTTAATTTTAATTTTTTAAATTTTTTTATAAAAAAATTATTCTTTTTATTTTATTTTTTCAATTTCAATACACATATAGTATATGAAAAAAGTCTATTTTGTAAAACGTAAAGATATAACCTTTATTTATTGAATTAGAGGTTATATATACAACAGAGACAATACTGTAAAGTTTCAATCAAATACAACAATTAGAACAATTAGAGTTCTATATTATAACAACCTTATCACTTATATAAGTTATATTTTTCATGTGATTAGTTAGTGTTTGTTTCAAATTTTGATAGTTGCTTACATATAGTGTATTTTTTATTTTATTTTGATTTTTATTGATTTAATTCTTAATTTTTTTCTTGGTTTTTTTGTTAAAGCTTTTTTATTTTTAATTTAGTCTTCAATTCTAATTTGACATATATAATATTTTTCAATTTGAATCTTTTTTTAATTTTTATTTTTTTCTGGATTCTTTTTGTCACGACCCGAATCCCGGATCCGTTAAAATGACACCTTTGTCTTTTCTTTAAAAAAAAATAATAAGCCTTGGTTTTGGGGGTTTTTTATACAGTAGATTATACTGGTTTTTTTTCTATAATTTTTAAACAATAAAATGAATTAATTACTTTTGATTTCATAAAAAATTAAAATGGTTATCAAAACTGACCAATAAAAATTTATAACTTATTTTAAACTTTTTTGTTTATTTCAGAACAATAAAAAGTTAACTTTGCCTTGGGAGAAATTGACCATAGGTTCATAGGTTTTTTTTATCTTTCTAAATATATTTTATGGTAAATCTAAGGACATATGGATGGTAATTTGTGTTTTTTTTTGCTATAAATATTTATTTTTTAATCAATACATATGGATGGTAATTTGTGTTTTTTTTTAAATATTTATTTTTTAATCAATAAAATTATTAATGTGTGTTTATTATGAACCATCATGTAAAAAGTACCATGTCTTTTGGGCAGTGTGTATGAAGTTGCCTGATAATTGAACAAGCTCTTTTATTATGTTATTAGAAACACTATTATGTTTTTTTTTAATAGCCTTTTTTTTTAATTTTTTTTCTTTTTTCTCTCCTCTCCGATGAATGCAAGTTTATCCTTTTTTTGTTTAATATTTCAATTTCAATTTTAATTTTCTTAATCTTTTTATAAAAATTTTATTCTTTTTATTTTAGTCCTTTAATTTTAATATAGTGCAGGAGAAAAGTCTGTTTTGTGAAACGTAAAGGCATAGCTTTCGTTCATTGAATTAAAAGTTATATATACAGCAGAGACAATTGAATTAAAAGTTATATATACAGCAGAGACAATTGAATTAAAAGGCTAAAATTATGGTAGTTTTTAATTTTATGATTCAATCCACATTTGTTGAATTTATTTTTTCTAATTTGATTTTTATACTTTTGAATTTTTTATCATTCTGTTAATTTTTTTCAATCTAATCCTCCAATCAATAATTGTTTTCATCCTCTAATTTTTATTTTTTATTTTCATCTTTATTTTTTTAATAACTATTTTTATTTTAAATTATTTTGTATAATTAATTTTTTTCTTTTAATTTCATCCTTTAGTGTATAATTTATCCAAGTAAATCCTTTTATATATATAAATATGTAAAAATAATATTGTTCCTCTTTTTTTAAAAAAAAAAAAGCCGGTAGAGACAGTTAATTAGTCGATTGACACTATGATTGAGTTATTAGATTATTTTTTTCTTAAATATAAACTTATAGCGCCTGGACATGTTAGAAAAAAGGAATGAGCACGGAGATGCAGCTAGCAGGAACCTGTGTACTACCGTACCATAACGTAAAATTATACTTATAATGGTTATTAAAACATTATTTGCGGACGTTGTAATTGCCAATCAGTTTTTCTTTTTTCTTAAACTGGTTTGGTCCTTGGCTTCTTTATTTTATTTTATTTTTGTCTTACCCCAAAAAAATGAATCAACAATGATTTGGATGACATGCCATATCCATTCCAAAAAATTAAGAATTTATCACAAAATTACTTAAATTTTTGTTAGCTCTGCCAATTGTACATCATCAAAGCAATTTACATGATTGGTACAAATTGGACTTGGACAAATGATGTTCTTGAAATAGACGTTATAGAGCCCCGATAGGAATGCTCCCCGCCTCTTTTCCCTGGAAGCGCAATTGAGTGTCGTAGCAGTCTCTTGTTCACAAAATTTGTGTTGTGCAACAATAAATGTCATGTCGCTTGAATGATTACAAGAGTTGTAGTCTATCCATTCACTGAAACACAGTGAGATCTTCTAACCAATGAGCTTCTCAGGCTTCCTTGTAGTTAGCAACCCATGCGCTCACGTAGGCTCGACTAAATTTCCTGGTACTTGATATTCCCAGTGACCTCCATTTTTGAAAAAAATGATAAAGTGCCTATATAAACAACAACTTGATCACAAGACCAGACTGAATAAACAGTGAAATATACACCATGGATCACACTTCCATTTCCACTAGTCCTCTTCAAGCCAACGCCCATGTTCTACTGCTGCCATTACCTCTTCAAGGACACGTTGCCCCATTTATGAAACTAGGACACCAGCTTGTTAGACATGGAAGCAAGGTCACATTCTTAACTACAGAGTCCATACGTTCGCAAATAGAGAAGGTTGACGAGGAGGAGCATATGAGGATTATTTCTATTCCTGATGGATTAGCACTAGAAGATGACCACAAAGATGATAATCGACTAGTCCAGAGCTTCTTACACGTCATTCCTGGTCACTTGGAGAACTTGATTAGGAAGACCAATGAAGATGAGCTGATTGGCACTGGCCAGATTACTTGTCTCATAGTTGACGTGGTTCTAAGTCGGGATCCTATTGAGATTGCAGAGAAGATGGGGCTAAAACATGCCATCTTTTTCCCTTCAGCACCAGGAGTACTGGCACTGATACTTCATCTTCCAAAGCTTATTGCGGCTGGCATTATAGATGCTGATGATGGTAAGTTTATGAACTACTAATGATGTAAATGACCTGTTGGGACTTAGATGGAGAACAAGTAAGAAAGAGTTAGAGCTAGAATATTTCATATGACAATTCTAATTGAAAAACTAAAAATCTGTAGGTACTGTGGAGAAGAATGAGAAGATACAACTATCACCAAATTTACCAGCCATGGATAGTGCTGATTTTATTTGGAAGAGACCAGGAAACAAGTCCAACTTCAACCAAAAGGATGTGTTTCAGTACCTCCTTCTTGTTAATCAAATCCTGAAGGTTCCCAACTGGGTTCTATGTAACTGGTTCCACGAGCTTGACCCTTCAGCAAATGCCTTGCTTCCGAACATAATCTCTGTTGGTCCATTGCCTGCCCATGATGGGAAATCTACTGGAAACTTTCGGTCAGGGGACTTGACTTGCTTACCTTGGCTTGACAGACAGTCTCCTGGATCGGTCATTTATATCGCCTTTGGTAGCACATCAAAGTTCAGTCAACAGCAATTTCATGAGCTAGCATTTGGCCTTGAACTCATCGGTAAACCATTTCTATGGGCTGTTCGTTCAGACTTCATCGATGGGATTTCTATTGAATATCCCGATGGCTTCCAAGATAGAGTAAAAAATCTTGGAAAGATAGTTAACTGGGCACCGCAAGAAAAGGTGTTGGCTCACCCTTCCATTGCCTGTTACATGACTCATTGTGGTTGGAACTCAACTATGGAGAGCATAAACATGGGGATTCCCATGCTATGTTGGCCGTACTTTGGAGATCAGTTCTGGAACAAGAGTTGTGTATGTTATGGTTGGAAGGTTGGCTTGGAAATGAACCCTGACGAGGGTGGGATGGTCACGAAGCATGAAATCAAGAGGAAGGTGGACGAATTGCTGTCTGATGAAGGCATAAAAGCAAATGCTCTCAAGTTGAAGGAACTGGCTCAAAACAGTGCCTATGAAGGGGGATCTTCAAAAAATTTCAGGGACTTTGTTGCACAACTGATGCTTTAATGGACAATATCTTTCACTATTGTATGAGGCTTGTTAACCTTTGAATTTGATAAATAAAATAACGCTGCTATTATTATGGAAAAAGCAATGGAAGATTTCATTGGCCATTTTAGAAGGAGAAGGAATTAAAACCCGACAGTTCTCTCCTCTCCCCACTTATTTTGCCTCCAGGCCAAAATCGATATCTCTCTCTCTCTCTCCAAATCCAAGGGTTTTGCATAGACTCGCCAGAATAGAGCTTCCAAGAGTGAAGCAGTCCAGCTCAAATTGTATGATTAAGGATCCCCCTTGACTCGCTGCATGAAATTTGATCGATTGTATTTGCAGAAAGTTTACTTCTACATTATATAATTTTGAAAATTTGAAAGAGAAATAGTGGGTTTCATGAGATGTTGCTGTAGGTCTCAAAGAATGTTTTACCTCCTGACAAAAAGGAAAGAAAAAATAACAGTAATAATAACAACGGTTGCCATCTCAAAATTCAAAATTTCCTGTGAACATCCAATTTCCACTTTTTACAACAAAAGTTCAAATGCCAATCAAGTGGTAAGCATACGATGATTGCAACAATACAGATTGAAGATTACAGTGGGAGTTAGGACTCCAGGTAGAAACCAGCCGTTGCTGTTGTGTTTCTCTGCTGATGAATGCGATGCTGGTGCTATAGGTGAAACTGGGCTTGCGGGTGATCCATCAACAGATTCTGGTGGCAAACTTGGTGCTAATTGATGAAGATCATCAGGACCTACAAAATTAAGACAGAAACTTCTTTTATCTTTTTGCATATTTCTAACAAAAATTAGAATTGAGATGTTTTTTTTAACACAAATAATCCATTGATTCTATACAATATCAATGAAGAAGAAATGATTAAGCTTGATTACCAGGCACTGAAGCTGTCGTGCCTCGGAGAGGGGGCAGTGCTGGAGACCCTGCAGCACAAAGAATGCAAATAACTAACTGCTGGTGAATTATAGTTGTATTTATTTATAATAGTGGGTAATGAAAACTTGATGTCAATTTATATCATGAAATCACATGCTAAAAATCAAGAATTCAATCCAGCCTCAATGATCAGCACCGAAAGTACTTGCTATTCAGTTGAATTAATACCTTCAATTTATTCACTGTGCAATTTGTGCTAAAGAGTAATTAAAGGACAGTGCAACTTATGTATCAAAAGAATTTAATTTCCCTGGACTAGACCTCAGCATATTATTTTCCTTCTTCCACAGAAATGCTAACTTGCGCCTAATCCGTTAACAGAAATATCTACAGGACTGTGTATCTAATTAAGTCTTAAATTTTCCCAAACTTTTCACAAAAAAAAATGTAAGAAAAAAAATAAGAGTAAGATCTAATAGTAGTAATGGATAAATTAATTGAAAGGTTCGGATTAATTATCTGAACCTGAGCAGAGCGAGTCCAAAGATACAGGACTTGACAGAGAGCAAGCAGAAGGCAAAGCAATCACTCTGGATTCATCCAATGGGAATCCGAAGATTAGAGGCTGCTTGATTAGGTAACAGAAGCAGTTACCGTCACTGGAATTCAATGCCTTGGAGAAGGCATCGCAGCACCGAGCAGTCGCCGTGTCTGTGACTCTGTTTGGCGGTGCCGACACGTAGCCGAGGCACGGAGAGAAGGCCACCAGTTCATCGCTGCAGCCGGGTGGTGAAGCTGGCGATGGTTCAGCAGCGGCCAGGAGGAGGAGCATGGTGGTTAAAACGGCTGGGAAAATGATGATCGTCATGTGAGTCACGTCTTAGAGAGAGAGTGAGTTTTTGTTCGTTACTAATCAGTTATGGGCGTTTGCTTTATAAAGGATGCGAGTTTGAATGGCGGGAATGGGGATTTTCGTTTTTTATTTCCCGAGAGTTTACGGAAATACCCTTGTAATCAGTGTTGAGTGTACTTTTTTCTGAACGACAGCGTTTTTTTTTTTTATCTAGTGGAGGGACCATCAATTTCTCTGTATTTGTATTTTACCAAAAAAAAAATCCTTAGCAGTTCACTCAATGGTCAATATTTTAAGGAAGAGGAGAGGCCTGATGCAAAGTTTGTGGCGTTAGCATCTGATGGTTTATGGGATTTACATCAACAGGTTCAATTTCACCTTTTTTTCCCTTTAATTTAATAAATAAAAGGTTGAAAAAGAAAATAGATAAAAATTAAATTAGTTTTTTTAACTTTTATTTTTTATGGATATACCAGTATAGGTATTTTTTAGTGTATGCTAATTGAAATGGACGAGTGTCGACACATGAAAAGGTTGTTGAATGATACGTGTGAGTTTTTTTTAAATAAGTTTTTTATTATTAAAATAACATTGTTTTAATTAAAAAAAATAAAAATTAACCTACTAATGTACAAGTTGACATATCAACATATAACCCGAGTTTTACCACTAGCATTTTTTTGGTGTTAATCAGGCACTCATTGTGTAGTTGATTAACTTTATTCTGCCAATCTGACATTTTGTTGAATTTTCATATGGAGCTTGCAAGTTACATCACACTTCTGCTTTTAATCAGTATATGTATAGGGCAGCCAAATCATGTGCATCTACTGGCAAATGCTTGTTCATTGACTAAACAGTTCCTGAACTTTCTTTAATCTGCCAGTAGAGCCTATCTCAAAATCTAGCGCCAGCCTTTTTTGTGTGCAGAGGTTTAACAATATGCAGAGAAAGAAACGAAGAGACAGAATTTTCACCAGCATTTTTGTGCAACACCAAGCAATGCGTTCAAATTCAATGAGGGAGATCACAGCAGTGTAATGTAATTGTATTACCAGTCATCGATTTTAAGGGTTAAAAGGATCTGAAGAAAACCATGGAGAGACTGGTATGATTAAAAACATTATCAGAAAAATCCAACGTTGCTGTCAAGATTTTCTAACCAAAAATCTTAGAGAGCGTAAAGCGATGGTGTGCATGTTTTGAACTTTACATGCTTGTTTATTCTGTTTAAGGCTGACAAGAGATGATTAAGCTAATAACATACAACCATAAGAAGCGAAGGACGATACTAAGAGTTTGAGCAAAATCTTATCAGTCTTGCCACTCCCATTTGATGTTCCGTTCTCCCTTGACAGAATTAATTTAGGAAATACATTTTCTGTTGATGAAAGTGGCTGTGTAGCCACTACTGTAGAGCTGTCTTCTCTAGTTGAGTTCAACTGAACATGCATCTCACTTGGAGGTGGAGAGACTAGCACATCTGGAATATTTAGTGGAAACAGTATTGGCTTCGGAGCTGGAACTGCACGTGGAGGGGGGAAAGGAAAGGAAAGAATAAGAAACATGAAGACATATTCAAGAAGAGGAAGTAATTAACCTATTTGTGACCTAATTCAGAAAGGAAAGGATTGAGGTCTAGCATTTCCTTGGCAGAGAGTCAAAGGAGGCACAGATATGAAGCAATTTGGCAAAGGCAATATAATTGAGGTGCTCAAGGGAGGAAGAGATGATGCTGCCAGCAAACACAGGCAATTGTATCCAATGCGTATAACTTTGTTAAGCACTTCGCAGCAAGTGCTATTAATGGACACGGAGCTACTAGTTTGATTGAAACACAGCCCCAAATCAATACCCTGAATAGAGCAACCTTGGATTTGACATTCGACAGCAGGAGTTAAAATGACAAGCACAAAAGCCAAGCCCCAAATAAACCTGAAGGGAACCAGTTCTTGAGAGCTCATGACTGAAAACAAATAACAGGATCTTTGGTGTCCTTAAAACTAGCACAGCTACTGCAGGAGTAGTTTGCAAATAGTAAACTGTGCGCGTCATTCCATTCTACTCTCCCAACCTTCTCGTTTCCTTAACATGATCATCTTAAACCGTGAATGAGTTCTGATAATCTTAAACAGTTATATTTCTCGTGATGAAAAACAGAACGCAACAAGTATGAGTTCAGTTGCCAACCATAAATGTTTTCACAAAGCACCTAAGCAAATGGTTAAAAAATAATATAGATTATAATTTGAGGCTTTATTTAATAATTTAAATTATTGGATTGAATTAATTTTTTAACATGGTATTAGATATAAGATAACTAAACAGTTATGAATTTAAATTTTACTATTCTTATTTTTTGATAAAAATCAAATACAAATTAATATAAATTTTTATAAGTTTCAAGTCAAAAAAAATTTCAGTATATTTAAAAAATAAAATTTTAGATTGAATTGATTTTTTCACGTAAACAAGATTCAGCAGCTCCTGTTTCAGTGAAAGATGCTATTACAGTGTTACCCTCTCGTTTTCCCTTGCTTAATTAGACCGCTAAAGAGTAATTACTTACTCCAAAACTAACTAAATGGGTAATCCTAGTTGTACATCTGAAAGCATGCCCGTAACAAGGTATCGGTTGGTGAATTAGGACCAGTCACAGAGATTGTCAGGGGTCATGGAAATGTGAAGGTACCATCAGTAGATTTTACTTAACCAACCGAAAGGCTAAATTTTTATGACTTGGGCATGGATAATGCATGACTGTGGGATGAATAGAAAGGCTTGAATTTTGATTTATTTTTTTCCATCTGGTTTGATATTCGAGTCTGTAGTCTTTGTGCAATTGGTAATATATCCCATCTGGTTTATGATGTAATTTAGCAGGACAAGAAAAATGAGCTGACCGTGAGATTTTCTTCGATACTAATATATCCTATTAGTCTGTTTATATTCACTTTGAAGTGAAAAATCATAAGCGTTGGTGGGCAAAATCATGACCAACTATATATCACCAACCTTCCGAAAGAAATCAAAGTAATCAGATATTTATCTTCGCCAATACATGTATTTTATACAAAAATAACAAATTATTTAATAAATAATCACCCAAAATGATTTTTAATCAACTAAACAAGCTTCAAAATAATAGCTCACACTTGGAAAAGAATATTTCTCAACAAATGTAAAAGACAACATCTAGTAGTACTTGAAGAGTACGTATCCTACTGCAAATAGAAGAGATGGCGAAAGGCTATGAGAGGGCGCCGATGCAGATGGTGGAGTTAGAACTGGGCGACTCCCAGGAGTTGATGTCGGTGCCCCAGTATCCCCTGTAGATGATGGTGGCGTCAGGAGAGGTGTCGTATCAGATACTGGCGGGAGAGTGGATGGTGTCGGCTCGGGAACAACAGGAGCTGCTCATAAGGAATAAAACTCTTCTCGTATTAACGCATAAACCATTATGGATTACACATATGCATTGAAATACAATAGACATATGACTAATAGATTACTGAGTCTGATTACCTTCAGGACTAGCAGATGGAGAAAATCCCGGTGAGAGAGTTGGCCCAAGGGTGACAGGTCCTGCCAATCATCAGAGTATAAGCGTACAGTTAATTATTTTGAACCAGAACTAATTAAAAGAAATAAAATAAAATCATCTTAAAGTGTTTTTAAGAACTCTCTGCCCAATTGATGATTGCATAACAATCAGCGTTAGCGCGTAACTGTTGTTCGAAGGGTCATGTAAGAGGATTAAAAGATCACGATGGTTCAAAAATCATACCTGGAGCAGGAATTGGTGAGCTTGTGGCTGCAAGAGCAATAAAGTTTTACATTAGTGTTTTTACTACTTATATATCAATACTAAGCTTTTGAATAATTAAAAAGAAATCAATACATTAATAGACAGATAAAAAGAAGAAGAAGAAGAAGAAGATGGATTTATTCAAGCGCGTAACTGTTGTTGGAATGGTCATGTAAGAGGATTAAAGATCACGATGGTTCAAAAATCATACCTGGAGCAGGAATTGGTGAGCTTGTGGCTGCAAGAGCAATAAAGTTTTACATTAGTGTTTTTACTACTTATATATCAATACTAAGCTTTTGAATAATTAAAAAGAAATCAATACATTAATAGACAGATAAAAAGAAGAAGAAGAAGAAGAAGATCCTTAAAGTTTTAACTAATTACCTTTGCATTGAACTGGGACACCAGGCATGTTGCAAGCACGAGGCAGAGAAATGGCTAAAGTTCTGTTGATTGGTATGCTGAAGGGGACACTGCCAGTTACAATAAGACAGAAACAGTCCATCCCATTACTTGTGAGGTTCTTAAGTGCACCGCAACAATCAGCCGTTGGTGAGGTACCAGTGGCAGCAGTACTATTTGTAAGAAAATTCATGCATGGGGTGAAGGTAGAAAGCACCGAAGCCGTGCATGCAGTATTGATCTGGCCATAAACAGGCAAAATCATGACTGCCAGAGCTACAGCCAGAAACGGAATCATGCGCGAAAAGGGCACAAAACGCTCCATGCCGGTGTGCTCTTGCAGCTAGGAGTACTCGGTGGAGAAAAGTATGGTGTTAAGAACCAACGGGGAGTAGATGATTGGATTTTAGAGTTTGGAAATCTGTGTTGGACAAAAAGAATGGTGAGGGAAAGGAATTTATAGAAGGTGAAGGAAAGTGAGGGAATTACACAACGTATCTGAAGTTGGTTTCGAAGCTCAACCACCTTAACTAATTTTGTTCGGGGAAGGATTTTGATTTTGACACCTGTTGAATTGTGTTTTGACTTGGGCATTTGATGGGCCTACCCTAATTTAGTGTCAAACTATAAGTGGCTATTGTTTTCAACCAATAAGAAGGTTACAGGTTCCGGCAAAGTTTGCTTTGACCCCTGCAATCCATTTTCTCTAAAATGTTGTCGACCTACCATTAGCCATTTTCTCAAATCAGAAGTTATGATCTCAGCCAATAAGAATCGTCTAAAGCCACCAATTTATTAACAAGTTTAACTACTTCAATCCAA